GAATGGAGAATCATCATCTTCAGAGAGCAATCCCGGCACCGGATAATATGCCGCTCGGCTCGAGACTCGCATTGACCAACGGAATCTCGAGCACATGAGATGGTTCCACCAACATGCGAAAATTCGTATTCTGCTTCGGCGTTCGATCCCGGACCTGCATCCATGTTGATCTGCAATCGGAGTGCAGCAGAGCGACTGATGCCTGTTGCGTATGGTTGCCGAGAGACGAGTCTAGGTAGAGCCGACAATTGGAAGGCTGCGTCGCATATTGACGCAATCCGTCTGTTGAACCTTCTGGACGTTCCTGGATGCTATCCAGAAATCACAGAAGCGACGGGGAGCGTTGTGTCCACAGGTGTCGAGAGCTGAAGACTTGGCGACTTGAGATTCCGAAAAATGTGATCTGTTTTGAAAGATCTCGCCTATCCAAGTGGTCGTACCGGGACAGAATATCGTATGAGACCGCGATCGTTGACGTCCCGACGTCGCGGATTGAATGGATGCGAACGACGAGATTTTATAAGAGACTCGAGCCTTGCGCGACTGGCAATGTCTCCTTGAGGTTAACAACCCAGTTCTCTTCCGGGAATTAGAGACGGAACGAAGGGAAGTCTTCTATCTTCCAACAGTATCCAGTTCTGTCTTGTTTGGCGTGCTCGTCAGTGACTTTGAATAATTCGGAGACCTTCGTCTGACGTCGGCCGGTCGCTTGCTTGGCTGCTCGGTTTGTCTGTTTATATGTCCCTATCTTCACGCCGGCGCCGTTACTGCCTCAATGGTCTGTGCTGCTGTTCGCTGAAATTCCACAAGGTCGCTTCTCACTGCGAACGAAGGAACCGGGCAGGCAAGCAGGCAGGCAAGGAGCAAGCCAGCCGCCACTCAGACGAACGGACGCTGCTCGACGCGCGGAAGCGAACTTGAGTTACCCCATTCGTCCAGCGGCGGCGGCGGCGGCGTCCCCGCGAGTTGCATTGCGCTGCAGCGTCAACAGCAAACGTGTTTTGTTCGAGCGGTGGACGTCTTTCAGAATTCGCCAAGCAGGCGGATTGGGCAACAGTTTTCGTCACTTCTGAAATCCAGCCTCAAGTCGACGTTATTTGTCTGTATTCAGATTTATTTCCAAATATTATTCACCGACCGGGAGAACAGCCTTGTATGGGATCGACTCATCCCAGAAATTCAATGAGCTCAGAGCTCTCGTTCTTCCGACCAATCATCCATATTCAACTTAATTCTGAAATTTGCCGTAAGGTGCCCCAGATCCCTGCAGGGAATTGTCGGCTAGAGGAACGTGAGTTGCTTCAGATTTCGATCTTCGGTTCTACATACAGTATGGGACGCGGAGTCGTTAGAAGTGCCTTCCCTTCCAAGCAGCCGACGCGGGATTGTCGAACGTGGGTTCTACTCGAGTGCTCGAACGTACCGAAGCTCCAAGCATCTCGGTGTTCCGCCGGAAATGCTACGCAGCCAGGGCCGAAGTCTAATCGGAGCATCCCCTCTCAGGAACCTCTGTCTGGAGGCGCGACATCGATTGCGGGAAAGACTTTCTCGGATCGGACCTAAGCCGCCTAAGCCGGATTTGCTGACTAGCGAGTACGCAAATCCGTGGCATGACTCTCAGGAGGAGTACTTACGTCGCTCGAGTCGCCCAAAGGCACATATGTACATGGCGAGAGATCTAGGGCGTGCAGACCTTACGGCGAGCTATGAATTCTGCCGGTGCTCACCGACCAAACGTGGTACAGCCGCGCGGCAAGTCCACGCGAACGAGCTTCGAACAAATTACTTGATCAACACATCTAGCCTTCGTGATAGGAAAAGAGCTCCGACCGATTCCCGGGGAGGTACGACCGGGAATTCCAGTAGTCGGAGATTTCGATTGCTCTCACTGGATTGAAGCCCCCCTCCAAGCGTATATCAGAGTATACCCATGTCCCTAATCGCCGGAATGAAACCGAGCGAGTGATGTAATGTCTGATCGTGTATGTCTCCCTCTGGTAATTTCGTTCGGCACTCATTGACTCATTGAGTGCAACGAATCCTAATCCGACTAGATGTATTGAAGTATAGTGAGTTAAGGCTTTACGAGTTCGAGTGCTGCGCCACGGCTATTGAGCGGAGTTTTCACGACGTAGCCCTAAGAAAACCCCCTCTCTAAAGACATGACTCCACGCTATTCGACAGAAGTTCTCTGGCAAGTAGATTTCACTGGAGCTGATTCGCACTCGTATAATGAAATCTCTCAGACATCATCGAGACGGCCTCAAGTTCCCTTCAGGAAGAGAATGTCCCGATCTTTGAACCAGGCAATTGACGTCTTTTACTGGATACAATATGGTTTGAGAGATTTGTCCCGATTCGTAATGGAGCTCGCTTGATTTCCGTGTGCCCATAACATATTGACCTTGATATATCGTGGTCTGCAATGCAAGACTCTACGAAGAGACGAGGAATGAGCACAACGCCGTACTGTCTCCTTCATCCTGCCTACCCGTCCTGACCCGGAATCGAGGACTGAGCGGGGAAAAAACGAGTAGGAGGTAACGAACACACTCCCCGATGATTTACTCCACCCCGCCGACATGGGGAAAATCATTGGATCACAGGACCGTCATAAGTGAACCGGACACCTTTGAACGGCTCAATTCAGAGATGATCAAACACTTAGAGATGCTCGTTTCTCACGAGTCATTTACGCATGCAGCTCCTGGGAACAATCTTCACTCTTCGAAGTTGAATTGAGCTGGCGAGCTGAACTTTCGAAAATTTTGGGAGGGTCACGTCTCATCCAATGTACCGAATACCATCCATTCCTTCCACATGGAGTGATTTCCTGAAAGCAAAGTTGATGGCCCGACCCTCTGAATTTCCTTTTCGGCGGTGGAATCATGCCTCGATATTTAGAAATCTCCTGATCTCGAGGTGCCTGTCTCGGGAACCTCATAAGTCATGAGCGCGGTGTTTGGCCTCAGACCATAGTTTCCGACAATTTCTCGATATCACAAGAATCCGTCAATCGACCAAGAGGATGAACGAGACAGATCGACGATTGCAATGATGAAACTTCGCGGCTTCGAATCTCGATCGGGATGCAAAGAAATCTACTCCCCGAACGAGACTGCCACGGAAGAAGGGCCTCACTCTATTAGGTGCGGAAAGTGTTCCAGCCGTCTCGAAGACCTCCTAACTTTCGAAGTTTGTCGGAATCCCGCTCTCTGCCATGATCGCAGCTCGCTGCAGCTAGTGGGAGCTCGCGCGAGAGAAAAATGCTACGAAGAATGAGCAGATTCGAGCAAAGGAATTTCTCCAGTACTGCTGGTGCAGCTCCTTCTGAGAGCGATCATACAAAAGACTCTGACCCAAGAAAAGAATGGAGACTAGGATTCGTTCTCTCCGCTCGGTAGTGAGCACTATGCGGGGTGAAAAACAGAATCTCGCTCCGACGACTAGGCGGCCATACGCATCGAGGAATGCTCTTCAAACCTCTTACACGAGAAGCTGCGAAGGAGTCGAGATCACAATCGACGTCATTTCATCGCGGTTGTACGTTGGAGAAAGATTCAATTACGGTACAGTCTTATCGATCGAAACGCGGATTCAAATCCATGACGGGGGAGACACTCGCAACCTCTCCCGCATTAATTATTTGGTTTCAGATCATTTTCGGATTATCAGAGGATTTCAACATCTCATCTCGCTCCTTGGAATTATAGCCTCGATCCCGAAAATCATGGAATGTCTCCCGAGCAAATTATATCGTCACTGCGGGTCTGGCCTTCCGAAGCACCCATGGGTGTGAATCTGTGCCTTTCTTCTAATGAGGAGAAATCGCAGCAAACGCATCCTCTCAGACACCATGAAGTCCGGAGTCATCCCGTGCGATCGCGGATGAATTTCGAGACCGACAGTCGGAGCTAAGAAATCTGACGAGGATTCGGATGCTCATGAGATGCGCCAAACGGTGGTCTAAACAAGGAACCTGCCCGATTCTGAAGTTTGCCTTTGGCTCGTGACGAACCACAAAACAGATTCGGATACCCATCGATCTAGATACGGAAGGAGCACGCATCTCTCGAGTGGCACCGTTTTCGCGAGTGGGTGGTGCTGCGAAAATGGTGCGATTTGATACGGCCACTCCAAATAAGCAGACTTCTCAAGAATTTCTCAGGAAGCGGCAACAGAACTAGCGGCTTAGGGAGCCCCCTAGTGCAGCGGGGTCAAATATTGTTTCTTTGTTGTTGGTCTTCATCTTCGTATATTTCTCGTAGCCTCAGTTGTTCGACTGTGCGGCGCTCTCTCTCTCTCGGCTGCCTCCCGTTCAGGTTTCTTCCTAATTCTGGGGTCGGCGTGTGAAGATGAAGAAAAGAGATCGAGGGGGACCGCAGCTGCTCCTTCCTACCTGCCTGCCTGGCTCTTGTATGATTCGGTCTTGATCTTAGCTCGATTCTTCGCTCGTTCCGTCGATCGGTTCCTTGGTTGGTGGACTGGCTGTTCGGCTGGCTGGATGCATCGTTGCTGGGCTCTGTCGTCAAGATGATTCTCAGAAGTGCGCCCTCTCCAGAACACGGCCATTGCGGAGGTGAACTGCGTTGTGAGTGATACTGTGAGAGATCCTCGCCTCCAGGTGCTCTGGTATCTCAACGCTCTTTCGAGAAGTCGAATGCACAAAATGAGAAATGATGACGACGGCGAATTCTGGTGGAGCTTCGGTTCGAGGGCTTCTCAGAGAGCGTGTATGGCACCGCTTGAACGATGCACCGCATGCGATCTGTCTTTCCCAATCGAGCTAATCACGTCGGGCGAGCTCGGTTTGAGAAGAGATCGGTTTGCTACCCGAGAAAGCTCATAAAGCGAAAATCGAGCCCCAGTCGCTCCTTGATTCTCGAGGTTGGAGAACTGTTACTCCCAGAAGCTGGCAGCCGATAAATATCTCGCATCCAATGCTAACCACAATGAGTTGGCAGTCGGTCCTCCTTTGTACACCAACATGTTTTATTCGATAAAGGGGACGTAAGTCATCACATATAGCGTCTAAAACTCAATGTTGTCGGTCAAAGCTCCCGCAGTAGGACCGGAACCTCGAGGCTCAACATAATTGTGCTCAGATCTATGACAACATGGCACTCATCGTATTTTGGAGATTTTGTATTTGAAGAGCCCATTGCTCCATGCCCGAGTAACGCTTCTGGACAGACGACGAACTGAGCTCCAGGACCTGACGGACCTGCAAGACGAAACATGACACTGAGCGTTGCGAGGAGATCTCAACCATCCGAAGATGTCTTCAAGAAGGGTTCACGATTCTCCAGCGAATTAGCTTCTCGCACATACCTGGTCGATTCTCCCTTGGATCGTATTGTCTAGGATGCATGAGACCAGGAGACTCTCGACGTCTTGAGAGGGTATATTCAGCTCACAAGAGATGAAATCGATTTTTATTCTCGTGTACGGCCTTATGAGTCGGATGAGGACTTGTCTCCGGATGTTAAGAAGCAGCTGTTCGATATGTTCCTTGATGAAGGCATCTTTCATTATGGATTCCTTGTGAGGTCCACTCACGATGGCTTCGAATCGAGATATGTTGTGGGCCTGCGGCAGATATCGAGAAACTTTCTGCTTAGACACTAATTTTCGAGTGACAGACGCGAGCGAAGGGTACCTGTGTGAAAGTGTTTTACCTGATAGGCATCGACCAGATCGGTGAGAGCAACGATTTCGGGGTCGTCCTTGTACGGCTTGGCTTCTTGCGAATCCAATACATTTATTACTTTCGCCGATTCCTGTAGATGGTTGAGCAATGATATGTTGTGGCAAGCGAACGACTCTACCGGATTCAAGTCTGAAGATATCCATCGACCGGGTCTTACTTTTTGCATGAGCATCGAAGCCAAAACGAGATACTTGAGACAAGTTGTCCGTCGGGGCGATCCGCTCTCGTCGTAATTCTTGAAAGCTTCGAAGAAATCCGTGTGTGCGAAGTTGTACTCCCCCTCCCGCAGATGCATTTTACCTTTCGGGGAAACAGTAGGCATCAGTCAAGTGTCCCCGTCGGAACCCTCACGATGTGGGTCAGCCCAGAGAATATCCTGGTATGCAGTGGAAAATCTATTACCTCCACATTCTCTGATGACGCCCATGATCAGAGGATGCGCGATCGCACTTTTGATTTGGAGCGATGCTTCGTATAACTTTTTGAGTTCCTTGTTGTTCTTCCGGGCTGTGTACATTTGGATCTCAAGAGCGTAGATCTCCAGGAGTTGCGTCCCCTACGAAAAGAGCATGGGGCGATCAATTTGTGAGCGAGAACTCTCGAAGTGGAATGCTGAAAAACAGAGAGAAAGCTCTCTGTGGAACTTACTTTTCGAAGATCATCACTCCCGTCCACATTCTGGCAGCTGAGATGTAATTGCTTGAGGATCCTTTGCAACTTCGGATACTCCTCTCGATCGAGGTAAAGTTTTCCTGGGAGGGGAAGCATCGATTGTGTATTCATGGGCATGGAAGAGGACACAGGGGAAGCAAACTGTGGAGGTGCCGACTAGTAACCGCTCTTACCGAGTTTCGTGTTCGTTTTGAACCAGAGTCGATCGTTCTTCGCATCCTTCAAGGCATCCAGAGTGACCTGTAACATTCTGTCGTTTCAGCTCCGCGTATCCAAGCCCTCCTGACATCCCTACTGATATACGAGACGATCATTCGACAGCGGTCTCGACATAGTGTTCAATAGACACTAACGAGCGGTCGTCAAGAGAAAAGTTGACCTTTTCATGGGTAGGTGATGGATTCAGTTACCTCGTAGAACTCTTGGAGAAGCTGCATCCGTTTCGATGTCGAAATGTAGTCCAAAATGGAGTTTATAGATTTCTCGGAATAATTTCTGGTGACCGCTGTTCTTATGTAGCTCAAGAGTTGCTTGTAGCGAGACATCATTTCTTCGTACCTGAGGAAAATTCATTCGAGATAATTGAGCGCTCAGGGCAGAGAATATTCCAAGATGGGTATCTCGATTCTCCGTGAATATTCGACCATAAAGATGAATTCACATACTGCCCGAGTCGGAAATTGATTTTAACCATCTGTTTCAGAGCTTTGAATCCATAATCCCCTTTCTGCCCGCCCTCGAGATCCAGCACCTGCAATATTCCGAAGGGTCAGGACTGTGATCGATATGATTACTACGACGAGAAGATCGACACGGAGATTATGGGTTCCGACCACAAAGAAAATTTCCCTCGGAGTACAAACCTTCTGAAAACTCTGCAGAGCAGCCTTCGGGTCATCTTGCTTCAGAGCCTGGAAAACAAGCGGAAATTGATGAAGCGCGAAATTCCAGAAACGTTTCCCACCTTTGCTATCCCGGGAGATCGACAGAGAGGTACGAGGAGGGGAGAGCGGGGCTGACCGCCAATTCATCCTCAAGGGCCTGGTCCTTTCCTCAGTCGAAGCGGGACTCACTTTTGAATTGTAATATTGATTTTCCAGATCGACGTCAGGCTGGGAGTCGTCGTCCTCAGAGTATTCCAAATCGTAGTCCTCCTCATTATCTGACATGTTGTCATCAGACATGGTTCGGGGATCTTGTGAAACCCTAGAGTTAGGAAGAGTGACGTTATTGAATTACCGAGTTAACGGCTTCCGAAGCTTCACTCAGATGATTCCTGCACCGGCTCGAGATTCCGCAGAGAATACGAGACGTTCCCAACAAGGCAAGCGCAACATCCTACAGAATGACTGACATATTCGATGCCTTCGTCCGACGCTCTCAGACAGCGCCAATGAAGCGGGATTCTCGCGACTAGAGTTCCGGATCCGAAATGATTCCAATGCATCGCTTCGAAAGCTACTAACTTCTTAACGTGAGGAGGACGTCCGAGAGTTTGAAGATCTCCAGGAGTGAGATCCACGGCTTGGAGTATAAATCAGAGAAACTTATGCCCCCTAATGGAATGATAACCGAAGCGCCTCAGGGAGAGCTAACTTTTCTACGGCGATTTTTCCACAATTTCGCTGGCTGCCGACGAGTGAGACGACATGCCGCAGAGTGGATGGCGCTGCCAGAAGGGAACAACAAAGGTTTCTGCTGCCGCCGCACAGAGGGCCATAATCCGAAACCACCCGCGGAGAACTTCGAGATCGTTTCCGACCCAGTAGACGAATGCTTTCCATCCGAATCTTATGTATCGTTGAAGGTATCCTCGTCGGGCTAGGTCGCCTCGAGTATTCGAGAAATAAACTGCCAGTCGATAAAGCTGCCAATACTCCATGGGGAAAGGGATCTGATTGCTCGCGGCATCAATAACAACAGACCGCGCACACGAGCCAAACAAACTGAGCCGCTGGAGAGAGAATATCGTTTTGCCGGTGGTTGTATGTGAGATTTCGAAGTCAAATTTCATCCGCGGAAATCGTGTCTCAAAATGAAGCTCGTGAGGTAAGTTCCGTACCCCGGTGAAATCATGATGTCCGAGAGAGCCTTGAATGGCGCAGCCAGTCGCTCAATGTCTCTGTCACTCGTACCTTCATCAGTTGAGACGCTACCTTTGGCGCGGAACGAGCAACCGATCTCGGAATCGATCCTTGAGCGTGTAAATCGGTCTCTGTACTACAAACATTGTGCCACCATGGGCGAGCGATCGATCTATGTATTTGGAGGAAGCTGAATCTATAATGCCGCGCTCGATCACTTTTTCATGTCGGAGAAGCGGAGCCATAACCCCGCGTCAACTACTGTAAATACTACATATTTGACATTTGACCAAACCGGCGATGTGTCGTGCATCAGGGCACCTGATGAATTCGGCGTCAATCAAATGATTTGGAGTACGCAAGCTGCCGAATGGCGGCCCTCTCCTCTGGAATAGGAAACGAAAACCCTATTCCTGGGATCATTCATTCGTCAGATTAGAAGCTACGCCTAGTAAAGTCCAGGATGGCGGAGGGATTCTCGCCATGAAGTCGCTATCCCCATCGATTCCGACGGAAAATGAAACATCCTGCTCCTGAAAGTCGAACTCGTAGCGGGGAGGATCGCTGCTTCGATTGATTTTGATTGACATTCATCTTCATTCCAGGTTCTTGATGAAACTTAGTCACGAGACGGTGACTATCGAGCTCAAGAATGGCACCCAGGTCCACGGGACCGTCACAGGAGTCGACGTTGCTATGAACACTCATTTGAAAAATGTCAAAATGACCCTAAAGAACGCAGCGGAGCCTGTCAGCCTCGAAACTCTCTCTATCCGAGGGAATAACATCCGGTGAGCCTCTCCAAAGAAAACGATTGATTATCCTGCGAGAGTACGGAAGATTCGCCTCACGCTTGCGCCCTCACGCCACAGACTGGATGAGGGCGTGACCAGCAATTCGATGTATCCGCTGTCCGGAGCTGACTTTCTCGTTGGCGAATATTGAGGGCATGCTTTCCTGAAATTTCCAGATACTATATCCTTCCGGATTCGCTTCCCTTGGAAACCCTCCTCATCGACGACACTCCCAAGGCTAAGAAGAAGAAGGAGGGAGCCGTGGGTCGTGGCCGAGGAAGAGGACGCGGAAGAGGAGCCCCACGGGGACGCGGCAGAGGCAGAGGCGGCAGACGTTGAGAAACTTGTTTCTATGTAGTTATGTGAATACGTCATATACATGAAAGCGTCAGGGGGCCGACTGCCAACTGAATGAATAAATGGGCTCAAAACACTGATTGGCCGTAATCAATCCCATATATCCGGACGAACTCGTTCCGCACCTTCGAGCTCAAGGGTCGGAATAGTTGTCCGACAATGATATCCCGTCTCATGATATCCGCGTTCGAGGACGGATTTGTGCGCTGTGCTTCCACTGTGATGGCTGACACTTCACTGGATGAACGAGAAGATTCGTTCACGCATCCTGCCGACGATAGACTACCTTTACGCGGGAAAAATCTTGATTCTCTGTCCCGACCAGTATAGAAACTGCGCATAGTTACCCCTAAGGTAATGCCTCGAGTGATGGTGGAGGAGATTATTCGGCAGGCCATCAGTTCTCCGAAATCGGAATCCGAAAAGAACCCGAGCCCCCTCAGGCTCGGGCGACTACTTGGCCCTTTCCGGATGCATCGTCTTCTGCTCTCAGGAGGAAAGCTTCATTGAATCGCTCCCCGGTACCCAGGTGATCGGGAGGGATCGGGAGAAATGAAGAAGGAGGGGAAACCTTCTTACATCCATTTCGCATGTCAGAAGGATTGGGGGCCAAATAATTATATTCAGGGCGCAGAAGAAGGGTCGAGAGGTCATCACCCTGAGTTTTGGTTCGCTTCTCGTAACCGTTCTTGAACCATCGGATAGCTTTCGTGAGAGCCCTTCGTGACGACAAGGATCACAGGTTCAGGAAGATCGATAGGTCTCCGGAATCCGCAGTCAAACCTCAGGTCTTCGAGCCCCTCCAGGCTTGTGGGAGCTCAAGTCCCTCAAGGACGCTGATCCTCCCGTTCTCCGTGAAAGCTTCCACCGGGAAGCTGTTAGTATCAACGGCTTCTACGAAGTAAATCCAGTTTCCATCACGGAGCTCACTCAGTGTCAGCTGAGCGGCCAACAAGGTACGCGTTTCGAACGTTGCGCGAAAGAGCTTGCTTTTTTTTCTGGGTTCGCGGTGTAAACATGGGAGAAGCTCACACCGGATCCCATCTACGGGCTTTATCGTCGATCTCTGCTCCGGAAAAGGCTTTAGCTCATCTCAGTCAGCTCATTCTGCGGAGCAGCACTCCTGCGGATCTGCGGGATCTCGATTAAGCGGGTAGCGGGCTCATGTCTTGGGTACAGAAGATAAGACGGAGAACTTCGGAGAGTCCGCAGTCCACAGCTATCCTGATTAGCTCACGGCGGCAGCGACTCTGGCTGCGGACTCACGAGATTTCTCGCGAAGTTTCTATCACTTCTCTGAAGAGACTGGACTTCAACGCGGCTAGATCAATTCTCATCGGATTTCTTCATAAAATGATAGATCATCGGAAAAAGTCAAGAGAGAACTCAAGGCCTTGCCGCCAAGAATTTAAAAGAGAGCGTGTGGCGAAACCTGCAGTCAGCCGCCCTCTCGCCATCGTCCCGGCGATCACATGACAGCCGAGCAGTGGAGTCACAGGATATTCACGTGAACGTCGAGTACGAATCACGTTCACTCTGTTGAGCAAACTGTCTACGGACTCATAGAGATTCACAGCTCGACAGAAAAACTCTCGACGTCTAGTGCTTCGATTGATTTCTGACGGAAGCACAAAAAAGTAAGTAGTGAGCCATGCAGAAAATCGCAAGGTAGTGGAGCTTCTCTCCGAGTTTCCCACTCCAAGTTCGAATCTTGAAGTTCGGCGAGAGCGAAGCCGTCGTGTGAACTTCCGTACCGATATGCGGAAACAAGTCTCGGTGTGATTCCCAAAGGCAGACGTGGCAGAAACCTGCGCGAGTTTTTATTTCGAGCTCCTAATTCGAGTCTGAGATTTGTCTCCGATGAAGTTCCGAAGGCTATCGTGGAGATTCTTGCTTCGTTCCGTCACAAATTATTCCGAGGCAGCTTGCCCCACCGCTCGGAGCAGGCTCATCCATGGTAGAAAATCAGTGTACAGATATCGGGGCGAGAATCCGAAGCGGGACCATTCGATGCAGAATCCGCCTCGTGACCCTTCTCTGCCAGTCACATGACTGTCAACGAACACATCAGCAGACTGGACCATCGCACCTCCGTTTTCGAAGGTTTGAGTTCCTCATCGATCTCGTCCCTTGGAAAAACTTAGGAGACTCGGCCTGGATCGAATAGAAAGTATTCACTCGGAAGCTAGCGTACAGTCACTCAGGAGCTGGATTGATCGTCTGGCCCCTCGTTGGAAAGCTGCTCTCCGCGCCAAAGGCTCAAGATGGGAGCTACTGGTCAACGAGCTCATTTTCGAACGCGCCACTTATGAGATTCTCTGCCGGATCTTCCCTTAAGCCTTAATTTTGTGTTTCGTGAAGAAAGTCGGTCTCGTCTCGCACGCGAGCTCGAGAGTCGAATAATAATTTCCGACGATTTCAGATGTCACTCCCGAAGGTTGCGGACGCGAAGGAGTCGGACTATGGATACGTCCATGCAGTTTCGGGTTAGTGAACAGCTCTCGAAGCATTGTTCGGTGTGATGAAGAAAATTTGAATAGTACCAAGTCACGGAAATATGCGTTGAACAAGATCTCTCATTGTGATTCTTCGTTTCTCAACCAGGTCCTGTCGTTACGGCCCGAGACATGGACGGAGCGGCCATGTACGAATTGGTTCGGGTCGGACACGACGAACTTGTCGGTGAAATTATCAAGCTTGAAGGAGGTGAGAGGGCGAGAGTGATTTGTCAGCGAGCCCCGTCCGCAGAGATTCTTGGGAATCGTCCCTATTTCCCCTGATGGAGATTCGAGCTCACCTCTGATTTTTTCGCACGCAGGCATGGCCACCATCCAGGTATACGAAGAAACGTCCGGTGTCACCGTCGGCGATCCCGTGCTCAGAACGCGCAAACCCCTCTCTGTGGAGTTGGGCCCAGGAATCATGAACTCGATCTTTGACGGTATCCAGCGTCCTCTGCGAGACATCGGCGTGCTCACCGACTCGATCTACATTCCAAAAGGAGTCAACGTGCCGGCCCTGCCCCGAGACACTCAGTGGGAATTCAATCCCGCGAACATCAAAATCGGTTCTCACATGACTGGGGGCGATGTTTTCGGAACGGTTGTCGAAAACTCGATGATCAACCACAAGATCATGCTCGAACCCAAAGCCCGTGGAACGGTCACTTACATCGCGGCTCCGGGCAACTACACAGTCGAAGACGTCGTTCTGGAGACAGAATTCGACGGAGAGAAGAAGAAGTACACGATGTTGCAGGTTTGGCCCGTGCGTCAACCTCGACCGACCGCTGAGAAATTGGCGGCCAACTACCCTCTGCTGACTGGACAAAGAGTTCTAGACTCTCTGTTCCCCTGCGTACAAGGAGGGACCACCGCTATTCCCGGTGCCTTCGGATGTGGAAAAACTGTGATCTCACAGTCGCTGTCCAAGTATTCTAACTCCGACGCCATTATTTACGTCGGTTGCGGAGAGCGTGGAAACGAAATGGCTGAGGTGCGTGCGGTGTTTTCTCCGAAGGAGTCGAGAGCAAAATCCAGCATAATCATGCCCGCAATCGCACGGGGTCGAAAACTAAGCAGCTCCTGACTTTGCTTCCCGATATCGCAGGTACTCCGGGATTTCCCTGAGCTGACGACCGAAGTCGATGGACAACAGGTGTCCATCATGCAGCGTACCGCTCTCGTAGCCAACACCTCGAACATGCCTGTGGCTGCTCGAGAAGCTTCCATCTACACAGGTGATCTCTCTGAAAATTTCGAGAAGGGTTACGAACTCGACATTAGGAGGCATATCTCCCGAAGTCAGGGACATTCGCGAAACTGATCGTCCGCTTTATACAGGTATCACTCTGTCCGAGTACTTCCGTGATATGGGTTACAACGTGGCCATGATGGCCGATTCGACCTCTCGTTGGGCCGAGGCTCTTCGTGAAATCTCGGGTCGTCTGGCTGAAATGCCTGCCGATTCCGGTTATCCTGCATATCTGTCCGCAAGGTAAAGTCCGTTCTCGAGAAATCCTCCGGAAGTTCGCAAGAGAGTCGCTGAAATCGTTGAGTCATTGTTATAATCGACCCCCTGAATATTCCTCAGATTGGCCTCTTTCTACGAACGTTCTGGCCGAGTCAAGTGCCTCGGTAACCCCGAGAGAGAGGGTTCCGTCACCATCGTCGGAGCCGTATCTCCTCCCGGAGGAGATTTCTCCGATCCCGTCACTTCCGCGACTCTATCCATCGTACAGGTGGGGATGCAGATCCATTCGAGCGTCGACACAGCTGATGAAATTCTGTCGAAATATTATTCTGCGTAGATCAGTCCGCTCCCGCTGAGATAGCTGACTCTATTCGCAGGTGTTCTGGGGTCTGGATAAAAAACTCGCCCAACGTAAACATTTCCCCTCGGTCAATTGGTTGATCTCGTACTCGAAGTACACCAACGCTTTGGACGAGTATTACGACAAGCACTACCCTGACTTCACAGCCCTCAGGAATAAGTGCCAAAGGATTTTGCAAGTGCGTAAAGCGTAGAGTATCAGTAGGTCGGAGTTCTACCCGGACGATGATCTGATGTGACAATTTTTCACTTGCAGGAAGAAGAAGAACTGTCAGAAATTGTGCAGCTGGTCGGAAAAGCATCTCTTGGTGAGCGGGAGAAGATCACTCTCGAAGTTGCCAAGTTGATCAAAGACGATTTCTTGCAGCAGAACGGGTACACCCCCTACGACAGGTCAGTCAGTCCGCCAATCGTTGGGCTCGGATTTCGGCAAGGATATCGGATATCGCTCTACTTTGTTCCGTTCTGATAGCGAGTTTGCCTTGCAGATATTGTCCTTTCTACAAGAGTGTTGGAATGTTGAGAAACATGTTGGGCTTCTACGACATGGCCTGTCATGCGGTCGACTCAACACAACAAAGCGAGAATAAGATCACGTGGAACGTCATTCGAGAGGCTATGGGTGAGACCCTGTATCAACTGACGTCGATGAAGTTCAAGGACCCGAAAGCCGAGACTCAAGAGAAGATCCTGAAGGACTACGAAGAGTTGTACGACAACATGCAGCAAGCATTCCGCAACCTCGAGGACTAAACTCAATGAAGTGAAGAAAAATATCAAATCCAGCTCGATTCACGAAACCATGTTATTACCTATTAAGTTTAGAGTTCCACGGAAGAGCTCTCTGATTCAAGGCCGCCGATTTATTCAATTGGTAAACATCAAATCGAATATCGCGACATGGGGAGCCAGACGTCTTTTCCCTCGAGCTCTGTGACGAGGAGACGTCCTGACCTACAGTATCAAATGTTAGATCGATAGATGAAGTTGACAGGAGGAATACATCTCACTCTGGTATATTACACCGTGTAGCGTCTTCAAGGTCTTCCCCCCGCAATGTTTTCCCTCGTCTGTTTCCTTTCCGCCCCGGAACGAATCTGGAAGCGAGATTCTACGTCGAACTAGTACAATTGCAAAAGTGTGAAATGCGTGATTTTTCCGTTCGGTTAGACAGGTGATGATATCCAATGGGGCTCGAACCGTTCCAACGTTCGTCGCTACCCTCGATCGCGTAGCTTTGCTCTCCGATTCCATCCAACTCCGGCCTTCCCGTAGGATGGATCCCGGCTCTAAACGTATCAGGCAGGACGCGAGCAAAGGAACTTTGGAACGTCAGGGTCTAGTCAGCAACCGGTAATGACGATGTCGTCGTGCTCAGCTTGTGATTTTGGTATGATAAAAAAGTTGATCGATAATATATCTCTGAGACATTCAGCGATCAGCGGCAAAGCGATTCGGAACATCGACTGTGAAATGCCGATGATGAGGTCGCTCTCGCCGGATGTCGCCGCTAACTTTTCCGAGCCGCCTCGGATGAGCAGCGAAGCAGCTGGATATCCTAAGTTGCACATTCCTCGTTCGCGGGACGACCGCTGACGGAACCCATTACTTAGAAGGCTGCCCGGTATTACCTTCAGTGACAATTGTATTCTCCGCTCTGGTTGCGACAGATTTACCGTTTCGATTGCGGCAGCGAAACGCGGGTGACTTCACTTTTGTCTCGAGCAATATACGATATTTCGTATCAAAGCGTAAGAGAAGTTCCGTCGTTCCTCGAATGATTGGTTTTTTGACTGAGTGAGAGATTGATATAGCTGACATCGAACTAATAAAATTATGTTCTGTGATGCAATCTTATCTATCCTTCCTCGAATCGTCCGACCTACCCCTCCAGAGGTGGCTATCCGCGAACCCAGTTGCACGCCTCCACGACAGTGAAAGATGGCCGAATGAAAGAAGAGTCCCGCGAGGAGAAGAAAATCCTTAACCTTCGTTTATTATACCTCGAAGAACACATCGGCCCGAATCCAGAAGCAACGCGATGAATGCAGGAGGGTAATTTAATCTGTCCGTGGAGGGGTCGGGGAGCTCTAAGAGAGAGAAACTTTCAGCTTGGACCTCCGTTGGCGACTGCTCCGGAATCGTCACGGTCGCTCGCTTGTCGTTCTGATCTTATCTGCTGCTTAGCCTTCTCCTCAGCATCCCTTTGCATGTTCTCCACCTGCAAGACGGATACGCCGATTTGGTTCGCCTCGCCGTCGGCTTCCGTCTCACCGATACTCATCTCCTTGTCAGCTGCGTACACACCTTTTCGAGAGTCATCGATTTCAGAGGTAGGATCTTGGGCTTGCACAGAACGTATTGCGGTATCTCCTCGTGGAAGAGCGCGCCTCTCGACGGTAGAACTTCTTTTACTTCCGGGGGCGACATGAGAATCCCACTGACGAGCGAGAGTTCCCGGATAATGTTTTTCCCCAGAATTATCCCTCACGGAGAGACATCTGAAACGATCCTACAACGACTCGGTCCGTGTTGTCATAGCGACGATACGATGTCCGAGCAGCGCTGAGGTTCCTATCATGACGGAGGCATCAGATTGAGCCACTCGGACTCTGATATTCTCAAAAGTGGGAGTCTGAGCTCCGACATTCTTGCCCCGCATCAGGCAGGAACATCGATAGAATCTGAGATTTTCGAATACCTAATCACCGAATCAGAGCTCATCCATCAACCGATCGTCCGCCTCGACGCCTTCAACCGAGGCTCACGATGATGGAAAATCGGGAAATTGCAGGAAGAAGGTCAGTGAGCACCCCTTAATCGGAGCACAGGTCAATGGGATCCTCCGCCTAATCGGATTGCTTTCGAGGAACCCCGATCGATTCGGCTCCATCGATTAGGGCTCCGGATAATCGGGTCCTCCGTTTATTCGGATCTAACAGGCCTGGTCCCGAGGGGCTCCGGCCAAAGGGAGTTCACTGTGTTTCCAATCATACTGCTGCTCTGAAGAGCTGAGATTCAAGTTGGGAAATGCGAGACATTAAGGCCGGCCCGAGCCCCTTAGGTTCCGCGGATCCCCCTCGCTGTCTGGAGAAAATCTTCAGGAGCGGGGAATAGGAACACCCACGTAGTAACCGACTTTGCGAATTTCCCATTGACAATCCCTCCGGCGGAATCGTCTCGTGTCTCATTCCGGCCGAGGCGGGGAAAACTTTCGCCTCGTCCCGAAGCTTGGCACCTCGAGCCCGACGACTCGATATCGAAAGAATTGGCCGAGTCAGGTGGATGCCTCCGTCCGAATCCCTGCCGTGGGAAAATAAGCGAAGCCGCTTTGTGCCGCGACGGCCACAGGCTCGAGGCGAGAATGAAAGGAATCAAACATCATTCAAGAGCGATCATACAGAGAGGTGCTGGGCGCTCAGAATTGACGACAAAGCGGTTTTATAGCTTTAGTCCTGCCTAGTTCTGTTCCGAATATTTGATCCGCCGGCGCCGTCTGCGATAAACGGGCAGCCCGAGAGCAAACTGGACAACGAACGTGCTTTTCTATCATAGCTCTTGCTCCTTTTGGAAGAGCATACTCTCGCGCGCCGAATCTCATATAGTAGGCTGGGCGCTGGTGATGAATTCTGACTTAAGCTAAGACGACAGGATCAGGAATCGATACTCCTACCGAAAAGCCCGGGTCGCCGGTGTAGCAAACATTTGTTATCCAGCCCGCGCATCCTTCGATGACGTGAAGTAGAGATCGAAATCGACACCCCGAGGTTAGGATCGAACGCTCGGCAGCTCCACTCGAAGATTGCTCTCAACAAAATCAATGAATTCAGACATGGGGGTCGAAGCAGCTCCGCGAGGCCAGTGTTTCGACTCAAAATGATTGGCTCTTCCTGCTTAAGCCTGCGCAAATAACAAAGAGCGGGATACTCCTGACATGCTCCTCACGGATAGCTCACGAGCAAGGGGCGTCCTGGGAAAGGAACGGAATCTTCATTGAGACTCGATTGCGGTTCCAAATTGCGCGAAATAACAGGATAGTTTCCACCGATCGAGTGCGGGTTCAAGCCGTTCGTCACCCCCTGGACCGCCGCCGCACCCGCGCTCGAGGACTTAAGGACCCTAGACGAATCGAAACATTCATCGTGAATATCATAGGGATTGTTCACAGAGTGGAATTTGATAAAATCTGGTTTCAAGTCCTTTTCGAGCATTTGTTCACCCTACTCTCACTTGCGCAACGGATCTGGAGAGCGGGAGGCCTCGGCTGATTGTGAGATTAGCTGGGGAGAAATATCATGCGGTTCGGAACTGAGTACACCGAGTCTCAAGCTAGATAAGGCGGGTCCTTGCGACTGACTGAAATAACGTTCAGTCGTTTTTTTTCCAATCAACATGGGTTATCAATCTAGATAAACAATATATACTAGCTCGGACGAAGCTTCACAGATTCAGAGCTTAGAGTCCCTGGCGAGATAGGTCTTGATGTCGGCTTCGAGCGAAGCAGGCGCGTCCTGTGGCGAGTAGCGTTTGACAGGTTTGCCTGCAATGAGTTGATAAACAGTCTTGAAAGAAGATGCAAGTTCAACCTGACTCGAGTTCCGGAAGGCAAGCCGAATGAAGTACCTGTCCGATCCACGAGGAACTTCGTGAAGTTCCATTTGATGTCATCTGTCAGGAAACCGTGTTGTTCACTCTTCAAGAACTTGTAGAGAGGAGCAGCGTTCTCTCCGTTCACATCGATCTGGGAAGGGTGATGAAATGTGCCCAATTATTCCAGGAACGTCCCGGGGAAAGATGTGCGGGCTATCTCTAGTTTGGAATCTACTTAGGAGCTCCCGCCCTGCCCATTCTCATACCTTTTTGAACATGTCGAAGGTTACGTTGTATTTCAAGGAGCAGAACGATTTTATTTCCTCCTCCGAACCGGGTTCCTGACCACCGAATTGGTTGCAAGGGAAACCCAAGACTTTGAAACCCTGAGAAATTGAGCCCAGTCACAAGTCGTTCTCGCGGCGAAAGGTCTAGATTATCGGTGAATGATCGTTCAGGGCTCAGAGCGATGGACTCACCTCTGCTTTGTAATCATCGTACAGTTTCTGCAAGCCCGCGTATTGCCCGGTCAGACCGCACTTCGAGGCGACGTTCACGATTAGGCAGACCTGTCTCGAGAGCGAATTCCTAGCTTAAATCTGTATCTACCCTTTGTCGTCGTGATCACATCATTTGACCTGGACGAGGTCGATCTACTTACATCGCCTTCGTATTTTTTTAGCGAAACATCTTCGCCTTTAATGTTCTTCACGACAAAGTCATAGATAGTTTTTGCCATAGTGTTCGTGGAGAAGCGCGCGTAGCTGGCTGTCTCCGATGCTGAAGAAAGACCTCACTTGAACATAAGCGTCGTCAATCGAGCTGCTACTAAAGCTCAGAGAACCGAGAAGCATTTCCAGACCGTACCGTGAATTGAAGAGGGACAGCTTCGAGGGACCGACTTCAAAATATTCGGCGTTAGAACGACTGTCTTCCGCAGAACTGTGGTGGCCATCATCAAGTCTCGAGGTGCGTAATATCGCGCTAAAAGGCGGACAATGAGAAAAACAACGGATACAGGAGTCTCTATCTTTCTTGACGATACCCTATGAGCTCTCTAGGAGTAGCCAGACAGAGGAGTTCTTCCAGTCGAGCGACTCCGATTCCTCATCGAAGCCGTCGCGTCGGGGCCTCGCCATCCTTTTTATTCTTGGAGGGCACTGACGATTTCCTTTCCCGCGATTGTTTCGAAATCCGTGGGAGGAGCAGCGTCGTCTGCTAGACGTACAACATACAAGATCTTCGTCGCAGTTTGTGGCGTGTTGCAGTGGCTCAACGCGGATTACCCTGAGTAAATGAGTTCGACTCTCACATTGAATCCCCGAGTAAGTCCCGGGTTTGAGAGAGGATCGTCGATCGCAGATCGATTCTCGCTTTTATTCGCTCGAGGTTGATATTGGTCCGTAGCAGACGATGCGCTCTTCGAGCCGCGCTCAGATGGGAGTGTTTGTGCTGGCAAGCCAGCGAAGGTAGCCACGGACATTGTCGCCGCTGCAGACAAATCAGCGGTTTCAGCATCATGAGCTTCGTACAGAACGAGCTCTTGACGTAATTCAGCGAAAATCGTTCCTCAGTACACAGATGGGCTTGCGAGCTCCTTTTACGGAGACGATTAACGGTTTGCTTAGCTGGATTCCCGCTCCATCGACGTCCGCGCCTTGACTCCGATCAAATCCGAAGTTGTTTACCTTCCGACTGCTCGCGTGCGTGGGAAAATGTGCAGGAATTTAACTCACGGACTCGGTCTAGAAAGGTGAAGCGTGTGTACGATTCAGGAGGAGTCCGTCCACCATGGATCCAAATCTAGACTCGAAGCAGCGGTACGTCGAGCTGAAAAAACGAATGAAATATCTCTTGCACGAGAATGAAAGCTATAAACAAGAGATAGCCAAAGTCAACGAGCGGCTGTTGAACGTGAGCAAAGATAAGGCTTTCCTATTGGAACAGCTCCTCCAATTCGAAGATAACGATTCGTCTACGGAATCCGAGCTCTCTGACTCCGATCATGATCGTAAGTTGCCCGAGCCTCCGAAAAAGAAACCCCGTCAACGGAAGCCGAAGGCTCCGGCAGCCGCTCCATCGAGCGGTCCGAACTCTTGGAGCAATTCACCGAAAAGTCACAATCGCACAACGACAGCGAACCCCTCGACGACAAATCAGGGCGGCCACGGTGGGCCGAGTCATTCCAAAACATCGTCCAAGACGGGAGCTGCTGGGGGACAGACGAAGCGCCGGAGTAAACATGAAAATCAAGCTCGCAACAAAAACGCGGCGGGACCTCAACCGACGCAGATTGCGAGTGCATCGATGAGCAGAGTATCCGGGGGCGGACCTTCGATCGGGAACCATACCGGCAATCCTTCCTCGTCTGGACCGGTGTCGTCATCGATACTCAACCGCAACACTCTGACCGCTGAGGAAGTTGAACGTCATCTCCAGGCTAAAAGTGGTCCTAGGCTGCCGATGCCGCAACCCACGTCACTGACCCTTCCGGCAGAATTGTTCAACGACGATGCGTTTATGACAGATCTCGGCTCAGATCGTGGCAATGTTTGAACGTCACCGATGACGTGAGAATGTGTCAAGTTGTGAGCATGTCGAATCTTTGTGCAAACATTGGCGCTTGTCTATAGCACTGTAAATAAAAAATATTGTATCCATCAACACCTTCATTCTTGCTGGCTCGATTAGGTCCTCCGCAAGAGGGATCATTTGAAATTGGAGAACGGACTCAGAGCCTCGAATCAGAGATGGGGATAAGGATGGTCATTATCGACTCGGGAAGCTCGACGGGAACACGAGCTCTCCAATCGACAAGTCTGTCTCTCCAAAGACTGCCCCTCCAAAGAGTGTTCTGTCGTACTTTTGCAGGGTTTCCTCCGGTGAGACATTGGCGACCAGCCCAGAAGAAGAACTTTCGAGGATCCTCGAGCGGTCTAGAACATGTCGTCGTCGTCTTCTGACTCCGAGGAAGACGCTCGACTAAAAGCAGCCGCCGTGACAGTTACAGACATTTTCACGGGCAAGGTACACATGCAGTCGATGAGTGGATCTTCTTCCTCCTAACTCTCGTGGGAGACTCAATCTGAATGAATACCAGCATCGAAGATCCCGTGATCTATTTGTCGTATCCTTGCTTCTCCTTATAGGGCGCCCCCAAGAGCGAAGATTCCGGCCAAGATCATTCTCGTAACGGTCGCTACGATCTTGATCCCGAGTGCAAGAAATTCTTGGCTTCGAAGTTGGACGAAATGCTTGAGAGAACCTACAAATTCACCACCAAGAAGATGGAAAGGTTCGTTTGTATTGGCCGAGAGACATTATGTATGCTGATGACGTTGCGTCCGGCCCTCGTGTGAATAAAGGTCCTTCATTTTTCTCCTAGGAGTACGGAATTTCCGACCCGATCCGAAGCCGGGGGTGTACGTCTCTTTTCGAACTCCGCACCGTTGACGGATGTGCCCCACTCCGATGTGAGTATCATAAGTCGAACCACCACGATTGAATATAAGGGTGTGATATCAGATGTCAACGTCGCGTTCTTGATCCTCCTCTTCCGAACCATGAAATCTTCTGATCGCTACTGCTCCTCCCCCACAGGAAGAGCCCAGTAAAGCGAAGAAGCGCAGGAAGAAGAAAGACATCCTCCCGAAGACATCCGCCACGGATGATATGTTGAGAGCGTGTGCAGTCTCTGCGGACTGGCTTAAGCACCAGAATCCACTGAGGAAGACGTCGTGACCGAGACTCGAATCGATGGACTCACCCTATTCATCGTCGGACGGGCGGGGTGCTCGCGATCACAATTATCGCTCTCAGCGTCTGTGAATCTTCCTACGAAGTACCAATTTGCGCCGCTCCGGATCACGACAACAGATCAAAGCCGTGCTCCTCATTATAGATGTAAACATGATGTTAAATGAATTTCCGAAATCCGCCCCTTGGAAGAGCATTCTCAATGAAGTCCTTCAGGATAATACATCGACCGCCAGGAATCAATGAGTCGAATGTCCCGAGTTGCGTACGCTGTCGGTAGGAAGTTTATTGCACTCGGCATATACACCGACGTTCGAACAAAGAGCGAAAATTCTCCTGATTCAGACATCCCATGAAGATGAGAAGCAATTCATGGCTAGAGAGGGTGCGGAAATCACGATTTCTCAACCATTCTAGCCTCTGAGACGAGTGGCGTCTCTTTCCCTCGTATGATCACCACCGCGATGGATACCAGTCGTTGTTGATCGGCGCTTGATTCCAGGATGTCTTGACGGGAGGAGGACTGGGTTGTCGATAAGAACCTGTTCTGACATTCCGTTGGCTGTTCCAGACAATCGCCGGCTCAGAGCGATCGGTCCAGCCCTGGTTCTGTATGGCTCCTCGCCATTGTATATTCTCGACTGGATTCGGGTTGCTCGACCAGCCTGCGTTTGGAATGATGTTGAACCAGAGGATAGATGATGAAATTATCTGCAGAGGTTGGGACGCGACGAATGCAATTTCAATCTCTCACCTGCTTGCTGTTGCCACCCGCCACCACGGTTGTCGAAATTCGGTTCGTTGTGGACGATCTACAGAATAAGAGTCGTTCGTTCCGTCGCTGTGGGTTTCTAGCCTATCGATGATCGCATGTCTTATACCAAAATCTAGAGGACGACCTACCTTGGGAGCGTCAGATTTCACGCGTACGCTCGCCGGATCTTCATTGGCTGTTCCAGGCTCGTTCGTTTCCACCTTGGCTCGGAATCCATGTTCATCGGCAACATATGAAACCTAGAACCGCAAACCGTCGATCGCCGACTAAGTTTCAGAATAGCTGCTGATGAAGAGAAATCTTCGAGACCGATCGATCCTTATTATTGGATCGATCGATGGATCCTCGGATATGGTCGGCCACTAACCTTTCTTTTGTGACCGTCGGCCGTGACTATCGTGTACCAACCGGTGACTCTTCCGTTCTCGTCTGATTTCTCCTCTCGGGCGGAACCACCATCGTGTCCGTGAGCAGAATAAGAGAAATGATAAGGTTTCCGCGCCTCCTGCTGATGGGTCTGCTGCGGAGGTTGGGAATTAAGGCGAATCTATAATGGCTATCTTGATGATCGATTGCCGATCGAGCTCTGAGACAAACCTGGTACCCTGCGTGGTCATTGTTTTGAATTCCTTCTATCCAACCATGAGACCTGTAATGGAACCGACAAACCACGCTCAGCCTTCAGAGGTATGAGCAGAGAAAACCAAAGCGACTCGATACATATACAATTCCTTGCAGCATAATTACCCATCCTCGACACTTTGATGGGAACCGAGCCACTCATTGTTCTGTCGCGCGTTGTTCCATCTTAAATACGGAGGCGCCTGCGTCCAGCCGGAGACCTAGCCCACGGAAATGAAAGTGAGGAGAGGCCCCGATTCCGCGAGGAAGTCCATGAGTTTTTCGAACGGTTGCTGATCGGGGCGACTGATGCCATATAAGTGCGCCTACCTCTGAATTTCGGGGATATGACCTCACATGAGGCACGACCGCAAATATTAGCAGAGCCGCTCTGAGAAGCACCGCGAAGGTCTGGAAGAAGCGTCATTCGGTTCGCATGAAATCGTAATGCTCCTAATCGTCAGGGCTGTGTAAAGTATCCTGTTGAATGTTGTCGACGCGCTTGACGAGGAGGACGGATTTGGATTTGATACTCGGGACTTCTTCGCGAATGAAAAGGGGCCCTGGGGGCTGAGAGTATCTTCCTTGGAGAGATTCTTCTAGAGCTTAAGTTCCCCTCGAATAGGGGAGGGCGGGTGTCCCTCGACTCATTCTTCGAGGTTCCCGAGTTGACAGATGTCGGTAGGGAACCAACGTGGAATTCCCACAATGACCTGATTCAACGTAGGTGATGGAACCCAAAGTCAAGAGCTAATTGCGTGCATGTCTGCGATAATAATCCTAGGCGAGGTTGACAGAGGGGATTAGGGAGCCCTCCCGTACTCAAGGAGGGGAATCGATCTCGGGAGTCGCCCCTTGACTCTTTTCACGGATACACTTCATTGCGATAAAGTTTTCTTGCTTACCGATGTCATGATTTAATCCTCACGAGCCAGAACGAATCCTGAATATTGAGATACGTAGACCGATTCGAACACTGAGCACAGACAGAACGAACACGGATACACGAACGCTCACCGACGTGATTCAGCCAGAAACACGACATCGTATCCCTGAATGCTGGGACCTTATAGTGGGAGGTTGGAGGAAAGGGAGACTCGAATTTCTTCAGTTAAGTGGAGGCGAGGGCTGACCCGATATCAGTGGACGAATCCTGCGTAATATCAACGAAGAAGTTCTGGAGAGTGTGCAAAATTAATTTTCTCGATTAGGACGACCTTCACGAGCAGTCAGCAAAACTCGAACCCTTCTGTGGAAGTCGTTTGTCTCCCGTGCGAAAACTTCCCGATCCCACCGAATTGCGAGTCAGATGGACTCTTCATTCCGTATGCCTGCTAAACCTATGCTGATTCTTATCTATTGTTCTGGTCGGTCAGTTGGCTGCTTTGTCCGACCATATCTGAGGAAACGGTCGGAACTCCGCATCCTTGCTGGACGCTTCGGCATTGATAAGATTTCAGCCGAAGAGCACGTTTTGAAAGTCACGTACGTTTCGAAACTTCGTTCAGTATGAGAAGAGCGTTTCTCGTTTCGCATGCAGAATCGGAAGTGTAGTCGGTCCACGCTTAATTGGCAGGATTTTCTGGCGGATTATGAGGTTTTGTCACGGGACGCAATTTTTGATCCAGCCGAAGAAACGGGCAACGTTAGTCATCTCTATGGGACTTGAACTCCGCTGCGGATGATGCGGAGGCCAGGCTCGCGGTGGCCAACCACAGAAGACGTTGGAACTGCGAGCACCGAAAGCCTGTAAAAACCTGCACATTCTTTGGTCAAACACGGCACATGTATCACCAGCGGGGAAAGTTCTGTCCACTGAGTTATAACCCTGTGCAACTATGGGAACTCGGGCTATTGGGAAAATCGCGGGTGATCCACCTCTTCCAGTTGTGAGAAAAAAAGTTCTCGCCTTCGAGGTCGGAGAAAATGATTCATATGGGACAGTGACGCCGGAGGGTCTGAAACACCGGCATGCAAATTGAGAGCGATGTTCGATGCGATAACGCCGCTCACCCAGAAGTAATGATTCTCCTTTGACTATGTCCTCGGCAAGCAACAAGCCATGTCAAATGCGGTCTCTTACCGAGAAAGCCCGACCCCCTAGGTAGCTTCTCCCGGATGGAGCTCGGATGAGGGAGATGCTCGGACTCCTAATCGATGAAAGTTCATGGATCAAACCCAGTGTCTCCGCTTTTCCCATCGGAATCTCGACGCTACTGAAACTCGATCGAGTTTGCCCGGATCGAGTGCCACATCCTGACAGAATCCGATTCGGATCGTCGACGAAGAGTCTGGACAGGAGAAGACAAGCGAAAGCCTGTCCTTCAACGAATGACCGTCACAATTCTCGAATGAGAACAACCGTAAAAAATGCCGATCACAGAAGCGGAAGAAGTGTCTTCATAAATATTCCTGAGTGTCTGCTCCTAATTAGCGTCTCCCTCAAACAATTGAACCAGGGACAACAGCGCTGCTAATTGATCGCGCGCAGAAATTCGACGGAGGTCCACCGAATCCTGTGTGAGTGTTTTTTTTTTTAATCATTTGTGCATATGAATCTATACACCATACTTTTTTAGTATGGTGCATAGATTCACTTGAGTTCGATGATGTGCTAAACCCATGCGATGGAGATCAGACGAGCTTAATCTGTACGTTTGTAATTTGGATTTGATTCGACGACATCTTCGGGCATCCCCACCATTTGAGCTTCGACCTGATTCGGCAAGTCATTCAAGCGTTCTTCCCATTTACGGGCTCTCAAACTCACGCAGAAGAAAAGCCCCACGGGCGGAGACGCAACGGGCCCCACGGGCACACCAAACCGTGCGCCTTTCGCCCTATCCTGATGGCTCTCCGGGTATAGGTATCCTTACCCGGAGCTTGGGGTGTCATGGTGTTGGATTTTACCCGTATCTTCCCTGAGGAAACACAAAAATAATCATCATAATAACGTGTGTTTCCTCGAAGCCCGAGGGCCATTATCATCTCAAAGAGGGACTTAGAATCCGGACGGCGGAACTTCTAGGGAATGTTATAAACGCAATCAGTACACTGCCCTAGAATCGGAATGAGGAGGACGGTATCCATGGAGTTCAGGAGACCTCATACGCATCCAAGTGATAGAAAGAAAAATCAGCGAGAAAGAGCATAGAAGCAATTTTCCCCGTTATGGAGCGGAGAGCAGAGCGGGGAAGGGATCCTGGATTCACGCGCGAAAGTGGGGAAATAGAGCATGGCGAGGGGACGGGAGATGTCGCGGGGAATAAATCGAGACAAGTTGAAGACCATGATAGGACTTCTCTTCCAGGAGCTGCGACTCGAGACAACGGGAGCTCGCCACTGATAGGAGCCAAAGTCAACAAACCGTTCAGATATCAGAACGTATGTAGGACGTCTCCCGTGCTCCAACGAGAGTATGTGAGTTCATCAGCTCTTCGAAGGAATCTCTGGCAGAGAGAGCCTGGAGCTCAACTTGATCGCTTGCTTGTTTGTGAAAAATCCTGGTCTGGTCGACAGATGATCGGAATGATTTTTGTTCGTCAAGAAGGTCACGTGATTGAGGTTCGCTTTCGAAAGAGCGCGGGTACTCTTGTTTTCATTCGAGCTCCCATCAGCTGACTGAGGGCACCACAAGCAGCCACCACAATACCACCACTGTGTAGAGCCCTGCTGCCGCTGCTTCTCTCTCTATCTGTGCCGTCAGAGAGAAATGACAGACGGCAGAGACTGTGGAGAAGAGGAATGGTCTGGGAGTCAAAGCCGCTGATTGGAAGCTCATTACTTCTGAGTAGTGATCATTTAGGCGGGCGGCCTTGACAATGGAGGTCCTCTATACCCCGGAGAACTATATTCTCCTGAGTGGTGAACACAGTTTATGGTGCAGTCGCGAGACTGGTTCATTAACGCCTAGAAGAGGTAAAGTGACAACCTACTTCGAATTCATATCCGAAAACTTTCGATGGCTCGAACGATCTGAATCGACCTTTCCAAAAATTAGGTTCACGCCCTATCAGTCGGTTCACTCGGTCCGAGTCTGCAGAATATTACGACTCCGCGAGTGTGTGTCTCGGAAAGATCAGCCGAAACTTCATCTGACAGGCATGATTGACGTTTCCCCGATCGAGCTCGACTCAAGCTCCGGTCTCTGGCTCTCGATAATATGTGAATTAAGAGGGAAACTCTCTCTGGTAGGGCAATGGTCATCTCTGGTCGATCGATCGCTTCCCAAGTGAAATATCTCGCTCAGAGGAATGAGTCCGCTTGGCGCCCCGAGTTTTCTTCCCGACAGCTGCTGTTTCGCTCTCTGTTACGGTATCGGAGTCTAGCTAACGGTCCAAGCCGCTCGCGCTGCTGTCTTTCGAGTATATCGGTCTCGTACCGATCCACGAGGTCCCAGTCTGGATTCTTAGCCACTCAGCGGTGAGATGGTTCGATTGTCGAAAGATCGTTGGACCTGACGATCGACCGCAAAATGTTCACATGGCTTCATTACTCTGTGTCAAGCCGAAATCGAGTGTGAGTCGCCTTTTCTGTTGACGAGTAGCTCTCTGCTGCCTGTCGCGAGTCGATCACCGACCTAGGAGGTCTCCAAGCAAACCCTCGTTCAGAGCGATGAGAGGAATGATACATCGGAGCTTCCGGTGCGCTGTGGAGGGATCGCGCATGGTCCAAGATTGTTATGCTCTCGCCCTTTGAGAGAAGCGTCCTCATAAGACACTGTCTTCGAGCAGTTTTTCCTCACTGGAGGAATAATGCCTCTGCAGATTGCGCCACACTCGACCGTGACGGGTATACCTAATCGATCCGTACGACATGTTTATGGCGCGGCCGTGAATTCATCTCCCTTCACAGTCTGTCCGTCTCTCCCCCAATTGAATCCTTCTCTTTTTTCAGTTTGTTCCTTGGCTGAACTGACGGATCCGCAATGTATTGGCATCGTATACGGAATCGTGGGGAAGTTCCAACCGACACCAGGTGAGTCGGACGAAGGCCTACACCAAGGGGTTTGAGTCGCTCGGAGTAGGCGCGACTCGCATTTTCACATCGTGCTGTTCACCTCATGCAGATTCCGCCTCGTATCTGGTCGTGATACGGAACGCGTCGATCGTTGGAGTTCTCCCGGACCAGACTGATGTTTTCAAGATCAACAGAGTCGTACTCTTACCCTTGACGAAAGATAGCCCTCCTGTTGCATTCGGCGAGCTCGATGTGAGTTATCCGCAATTCGCTCAGAGACGCGCGAGAGGGACTCCATGACCACCTGTCAATCTAAGAAAGCTTTCCCCCCATTCAGCTTTGTCGCAAGCACCACATGGGCTTATGCCCGGAACCGAGTCCGGAGAGAAGCACTCCGGCGGGCATTCCCCAAAGGGGAGGGATACAGAAAACGTGGAACTCATTGAAAACCGCGACTTCCAGTTTACAGCCTAGCGGTCGACGGCCTCACAATGTGGGCAACCTCAAGGAGAAATACGAGCAGAGGCTATCAGACGTGCGTATTTTGTCCACAGCCTCTTTACGGTTCAATGGAATCGGGCTTTAGCCCCAAGTCGGCGTCGCGTTGAATATTTCTTGAATCCGTTCTTTGCAGGAGCTGATAAAGATGTTCGATGGAACAGATTCCTTCTACTTCTCCACGAAGGGCGACTTGACAAATTCTCTCCAACGGAAAGAGCGTATGAAGAAACACAGGAAAGACTCAGACTCTGCGAATACTGATCGGGCGCCGCCGTGGGAGACCTACGATGAAAGGCAAGCTGATCCGGATCTGCAGAAAATCCGCTCTCTGACGGCGGGAATTCATCGATCACTTGGATTCATGTCAGACTTCTCGCAGGTTCTTCTGGAACTCGGCAATGATCGCCGAGATCTTATCGCATCCGAAACTCGAAGAAGTTCTACCGTGGGTAACACCTGTGATACAAGGCTTCGTTCAAATAGACCGTCTCGCCATACAGGTAATAAAAGTAGCACGGGGAATGTCATTCCATTCCCGCGCGAGTTCACATTATCTCTGAGGAGATATTCTTAGAAAGAAAATTCCTTCGCAGGACGACAATACTCAAGATGTCACGCTAACTCAGGACAACGGCACCTGGGTAGAATGCAACCCACCTGCCCCGGTAATGACTGTCGGATTCTCATCATCTGTATGGGAATATCAAACGAATGAAATCGTCTTATAAGTATGGTTTATTTTCGCAACTAGGCGCGTCTCTTCAACATGATCTTGATATCTCGGAGGAGTCGTCATCGAGCGGGAACGCGGTACAAGAGACGAGGCGTCGACGAAGAGGGTCGATGCGCGAATTTCGTCGAAACCGAGCAAATCTTCCAGTTTGAGCCTCACGTGGTATCCTTCGTCATGGTTAGGGGCTCCGTCCCGGTATTCTGGTCGCAACCTGGGATAAAATATCGACCGCCACCCCAACTCGACAGAGGGGAGAATGAGACCGCAGAAGCTTTCAAGAAACATTTCGACCAGCAGCTCGAGCTTTATGGGAAGCAGGTTGGTATCGAGTTGCCGTCTGCCTCTACCGCTCGGAATCCGGGACTCATACAGTACAATAATAATTGTTCCCGAATCCCCAGACGATTGTTTCGCTCGTTGAGAAAACTGGTAAAGAGGGAGTGATCTCCCGGGCATACTTGGAACACATACTTCGATTGGACAATCCCTTGCTTAGTTACGTCACCTTCGATTTCCATGAATACTGCAGGTGGGTGTTGCTTATCTGCTTGATTGTGTTGGTGCTATTGAATGAAATATCCATTCAGCGAAGTCAAGCGAGAGATAGCCCCCTTGGACATTATCATTCCCTTCCAGAGGAATGCATTTTGAGAACGTCGCCGTATTGATCGCCAATTTGAAGGTGAGCTTTGATCCACGTGTTGTCCGGAGACGAAGTTCTTCATCAAGATATCAAGCCGATTGCTCCTGAGGCGATGTTCGATGGTCGAGCCAGCCATCACTCACTCACCCATCATTCACTCACTCTGCTCTATGTATATTCCGAAGGAATCGCCACTGAAAGATTCTTGGACGTATCTGTGGCTCGACGGTCATGGAGTGGTTTGCGAACAGACCTCGGTGTTCCGCGTGAATTGCATTGACTGCTTGGATCGGACAAACGTCGTACAAACCGCTATCGCTCGCGAGATGATGGAAACTCAATTCTTGAGGTGAGATATGTGTGTAGTGATAAAATTGCCATAAGGTGAATCCGACTCCACGCGAGGTTTTCCCCAACGCAGCGCTCGTTTACAGATTGGGCCTCATGTCTCCCGAATCCAGTCTTCCGCTTTCCGTTCGACGGGCGTTCCAGATCGCTTGGGCGAACAACGGTGACATAATCTCGAGGTACGTCAATTCACGATCTCTCCGAAAGGCAACCTCCGCTCACCCCCTCGACACTCGTTGCTTGTTGTAATTATTTCGAAATTCATGAGTACACGCGAACTTTGGTGCGTGGGCGAAGAGCTCGATATGACGATCATCCTATCTTCCGTCCACCCCGGCAGACAATACGCTGGAACCGCTGCCCTGAAGGGAGACTATACTCGCACCGGTAGTCGGAAACTCTCAGGTTTGATGAAAGACGGGTACAATTCAGCCAACAGGTTCGTGTGTGTTCCATTTATCCATTTGCTACAAGTGACTTTGATTCCCCGGGAAGGATCGCCGGCATCAGAAGCGTTAAAATTCCAGGTATTATTTGAATCGTTTCCGAGACGCCTACCGGCAATCAGTGATTGACCTCATGCTCGGCAATCCTGTGGAGAAGGAAGACATGGCCGTATCACCGGAGCAGGGAGTGGTGGAGGTAATGTTCGAGACAAATCAACGTGATAACTTCTCGCTCGAGCATCCCAGGCCTAGTGGTTGCTCATCAGGCCACCCGAATTTCTCATAACTTTTCTGCTCGAGCTCGCCTCCAAATCATAATGTATGTTTATGTATATATGACTTTATCTGAGCTCAGGAATTCCATTCCCCAGGTCGAGACCCTGCTCGAGGGATACCAGCACGAACATGTCAAGCAACTCATTGAAGATTGTAAAAAAATGCTCGTCCCAGACGATGAGGTAAAACAGTATTTGAATAGAAGCTTCGCATGGCAAGCTCCGGCATTTGTCCGGGAGGATCAATTCGCCGTTTACTCTTGTCTCTTCGCTCTTCCAGGTTTGCCTTGGCGGATGGGCCCTCATCGACGCCGACCCATCTACCGGGGACGCCCAGCAGCAAGATATGGACACCATTCTATTGTTGACAAGAGATTCGTACTATGTAGCGGAATATGACGATCTGACGGATCGGATAACTCGGTGAGTCCAAGATTTCAACGCCCATCGCCACGCGTGTACGTCTGGCGCGGGAGACCGGGAATGAGCGGCGGGTCGTGGGATTCAAAGGTGGGGCTGCGAAGTCGCGAAATTTTCCAAATTAGTGAATGATGTGATTTCTCAAGAGATAGAAAGACTCTGCCGCGCCGTAAGCACAATTGTATTCCATTGTCCTCTCCGTGACAAATGACTGATCGATTTCGCTCCCTCGGAAATCAATAGTCCCGAGTCGTGACGGGAACCAATCTATGAATGAAACTCGCAATCTCCCATCGCTCTTGCGCGCCCTTCGTCGGGGCGAAATTTCTGTTCGAAAACCTTCGCGATCGCCGCGGATCGAGGCGAGAGGCCGAAGCGCCATCCTGCGACGATTCTTGTCAAATTCTACCCATCCATTCACCATCCTCTAATGCCCATCAATCTTTCCGAGCGAAGTCGGCCGAGCGGGTGGGATAGAACATCATTACGAGGGGTTCTTCCTGTAGGTTCCAAAAGGTACTGCTGGAGGATCTCGAGAAAATGGAGCTGGGGCCGGAGCCCTCACTCTTCAAGAGTCGACATCACTGCCTTCGTCTACATTATCTCGTCGGCGGTCAGGGCGGATACTTCCACATGTTCAGGTTCGAGTAGCTCTTTCGCCGAGAACTCTGCGCGTGATACCACGACGACTTGTCAACTCTCACAATCGCAATAATCTGAGACATCCTTGTCGGCCTTTCCAGATGTGCTTCGACCCGTCTTTTCAACAATGTCGCCGTGCCTATAGCTTCGGAGGAAGAGGCTGTGGAATCCTTGAGAGCGATATGCGAGAGCTTGAAGGTCAGTTCCAGCCTATAAAAGTTGTTTCTCGATCTCGATGGCAAGGACAAACGGTGAATATTCCTCAGGTGGCTCTTTCCGTGAGGAGCTTCAACGTTCCATTGTATGAGGGGAAACTCGAGCGACGCCGCAGTAAAATGGCTTTTCAACATACCGCTTCCCAAAGTTCTTCTGGTGAGTTTTCGCTCCCGATGCGGGGATCAGCGAATGGAAGGAAGATTCAAGAGAGTCGATTGCCGATGCTCACTCGTCAGCCAGATATCAACACAGCCAGTGAATTCAAGATTTCTCTCCCCACAGGAGGAGGTCGGACCGGTCACATACCTCAACTCGATCTCCCATCGTCGCTTCCCAGGAATATTTCGGAAGGTCAACTGATGAACTTCATGGGCCAGGTCAGTTCCGGGGGGAGCCGCGTTTGCCCGGGCAACTCCCTGTTTCAGAGAGCCTAACTAACGCCACTCGCGTCGTTCCCAAGGTGAGCTCGCGAGCGATCAACTCGGTTTCATCTCAACTTTCGAGACTGAATCCCATGAGAAGAGGTTCGACAGCTCCAAGAGACCAGGGGAATCGCGGCGCTTTCGGCGGGAGTTCTCAAGCGATTCTCATGACGGTGGCCGAGCAGGCAGGCGAAGACAGAGTCAGCCCAGAACCGGCGACCACGCCGTCGACTCAGGTACCGACAGCAGAGATTCTGAATTCGAATTCGACGAGAAACGGACAGACATTGATTCCGTTTTTCGTTTCCCCCAGCTCCCGATCCCATTCTCGGATTTAGAGCGGACCACAGCATCGACCGATGATCTCACACCGCGTGATCGAGTCAAACCTCCGACGTCCATCTCCATAGATCGGTAAGGCTGTGACGTATCATAGACTATGTATATCACTGTAGAATACGCCGTAGACGAGACCGTTCAGGGGGATTTTCGGGCTGACTGTTGTCTTGCGCAGGACTCTAAGCTCGGATCAGTCCGAGGAATCAGATCTGATCGGAGCCCCGTTCGAGGAACTCAGTCAAATGACAGGTCAGTAGACTCCGCCAGGTGGGCTCATGTGACTCGGCGTTGGGAATATCTCGTCCGATCTGTGAATAATTTCCCTCCTGCTTTAGATGACGGTTTGCTTGAAAGCTGCGGAATACTGGCATCGAGCTTCAAGGACGAGATCGAACAGACTGCCCTTAGACGCAAGCTCTCGCAGGTGATGATGTGATTCGATCTCTGCGACTGAATGAGCAAGCCAAAAACGAAGGTGAAGTTTTTCTTAACCTGACGGATTCTTTTCAGACGTCGAGCGGCAGCTCCGGGACTATCGGATCATCTCGCACGCTCAAGGAAGCCGTGATCGATGACTTCGTCATTGATGCGATGAGAAAGACATCGCTGCAACAGCTGAAGAGAAGGCACCGCATGAGCTTGAACGCATCTAAAGAAGCCCTCTGTATGATGCCGGCGATTCAAATCGAAGCTGTGAGCCAAACACAACACAGTAATGCAGGTAAAAATCACGCAGCGCAGGAACTAGTCACCAGATTGATCAGACAGAGTGATTTGCGGTGAGAGTTATTCATGAATTCCTCTCTATCCAGGTCAAAATCGATCCTTCTCTCGCTCATCCGAGACATTGAACCAAATGAATGCCAGTGTAGGCTCCGGGATCCATGACTCACCGGATTTTTCTTCTCAACTTTTTGTCCACGACGATGGTAATTTTTTCTTGTATTTGAGGATCGGGGCTCGAGAGAAGCCGCGCACAACAGGGTCTGAGAGCTGATTGTTCTTGCAGATCGCTGCATGAAAACATCGCATTCCGAAAGTGCTATATCTCCGACTCCCTTGTCCCCGCTGAGGTCCCCGTCGTCGGCTCCACTGGTGATGAAGAAAGATCTCGTTCTCTCTCCTCTCTCAAAGATAGCTAAGGTGAGAATCCTTCGGAAGGTGTTCAAGGCTCGCGCGAGTCCCCAGTCGAACGCAAGCATCCGAAGCTGAATCTCAGCTCTTTCCGGACCTCTCGAGACACGGGTCTTCCTTGCAGGGGGTTCAGCAGCTCGGCCAAAGCGTGCTAATGACCAAAGGGCATACAAGATCTCCGATAATGGAGGTCAACTCAGAAGAAGCTGCGAATCTGGCAGAGAGGAAAGCAGCGTGTAGGAGTGTCATCATTGATATTTGAAAACCTACGGCCTGGAGCGTGTGATGAGCATCCGGTATCGTCGGAGTACGGACCCACGGAAACCCGAACCAATAGCGTCGACTCCGACTCGCAACTCGAGTAGACTGCAGATATTTTTTTCTATCAATTTTCCATGAATGATGTGTTACCGACTTCCGCTGATCGGGACTCGGATGGTTCCTACTCCGTCTCACTCAGTTTTGTGAAATAATCCTTCTACTCATCAGTGACATATTATGCGGCGATTCCCCTCCTCTCCAGAGGAGCCGTAATCTGCCCACCATGCAAAAACTTGAACATACGTCGCTTTTGGCTACACACCAAGAGAGCTATTCACTGCTTTCCTGTGGCTCCCCCCGGCTCAATCCGTTTTTTTTCTGGAAGCGAGTCTAGCGGCAGAGCTGGATAGAAATGCGGTCTTGGGGATCCTAGGAGACGTAAGAAGCTTGTCTCAGATCTGTTCGGGAGGTGTATTTGGTGATGAGTCACATCTGTAAAGATTATTCGATTTATTTGGTTGTTTGGAAGTGAGATCGATCCTTCGAGAGGATGATTATTGATGAAAAATATGTGGATAATCTACATTTAGTTTTTCAGTGAGAGGAACAACTTCTAGCAGTACACTGTGATTCGGAGATGATTGTTGATTACTGTCGGTCCAAGAGTCTAAGCGTGGGGAGTGCTTTCGCAGAAGAGAAGGTGACTCTGGGAGTCGAATCTCGCTCTCTGAGTGTTTTCTTCGTCGGATCGATGCAAAATATTTTCTGATGATGAACGGAAGTCGATAGGAAGGTGTACCTCGCAACAGTAGCACCGGGATCACGACAAAGCTACGACGAGTTCAAGCTGACTTAGCTGTTTCCCGTTCAGCCTCATTCGAAAAGCCTCGGGAATATTCTCAAAAGTTCCGTTGGGACCTCAGCTCCACCTTCCACCCTCGACGTTTAAGGATGTTATCGTGTTTCTTTACGGTTCTGGTCACCCATATTGTGATTTTTTCCCCATGGTTTCCTCCAATCAGCGATTCATTGATCCTATTTATATAATAGTAAGTCAAAATCATTCCGTGATAAAGCCCTGATTTCTACGAGTTATCACGAACGAACACGCCCGCAGAAATCTGAGGAAGAGGACTGACGTAGTTTCACTGTCAGGAGTTCCGACGGTGACTGTTATAGCAAGTAGCCCGTTGCAAAGAGATTATCTGTCGATTTCAAACACTTTATTCTAATCAAAATAAGATGCATTATACTCGCAAAAGCTTGGGACTCTTTCGTAACCTCGATTCGGTCAGCGTGGAATGTGACATACGACACAATGTGAGAGATGCGGCCATCCCAATGGTAAATGACACGGATATATCCCGATCTCGCTCACCAGTCTTTGTCTGACCGTTCATCGACCATCTCAACATGAAAATAGCGACTCTGGAAGCGCCAATCAGCTATAGGGGATGTTCTCGTCCGGTCGGATTTCGTCTAGACTGGGGTCATTCCGTTAACCTACTTGCGAGGGTCGAGTGTGGATAAGCTCGATGAAATTCACCCCGCGCTCGGGACCCGAGCCCACGGTACCCGTGCTATTTTCATCGCGGATAGAGAAACAATGCTCCGCATCCGTCCATCCGAACCTTCAGGGGTCGCAAATCGTGAAGTAGTGAGAGCGCGATGAAAGCATAGCACGCAACCAAGTCTTATTCCAGGGTAAACATGAATACTCCTCCTTCCTGTACAATCTGATATTTTTGCACGTGTGCTTATCGTCGTCTGTACGATTCGATGCGACGGCATGCAGTGTCTTATCCAGGGCGACTGCCCTATACGCGATCGCCGCCAATCGCCTAATTTGCAATCTCCAGTTCTCAATGCGTCACTCGAGGTGTTCGTTAAAGATTGGATAATCAGAGTACACAATATGTCTAGGGACTCCGTTTTGACAAGAGTTTCAAGGCGACCCTGCTTTCGAGAAGAAGACCGAGACTCGAATCGGCGGCGCGGCGTGGACAGCGATTCCCGATGGGTATCATATGATGGACATCTTCTAGAGACGATTTTCTCCGAGCGATCAGGAACTCCGGCTCGGTAACGCCACGAATATTTCCTTCATCGCTTCTCCCCCAGCTGCCGATGACTTTACCTTTCCCACGAGCTTTTGCTGAGCGTGGAATCAACTAAGTAAAGTTGAGCAAATGTCCCGAATAGGTTTTGCTGGCCACATGACAATGGTCCAGCGTCGACATATCCTGGTCAGAATATCGGTGCCATCTGGAAAAAAAACACTTGGCCTATTTCGCAGATGTTCCCTCGTCATCGGGAACTTCCGATATGAAATCCCGGAGCTAGTCCTGATCTTTCCGAATCTTATTCTTTTTCTGTAGCTTCTCGTCGTCAACGCTCCCTCATCATCGTTTTGGGAGATTCTCGCCCTACACTAAAGGCGAAAACCACTGGGCGCCTGTCGGATGCGAAGCATCAAGGAGACAATCATCAATTGAGATTTCCGCTACTCGGCGAGAGGGAAGCCTCCTGAATGAAAACGATGGAGCATTCCTGCTGAGACGCCCAGTCAAAGGGAAACGGAGCGTAAGTCATCGAAGAGGGGAAGAAGGACTCTCTGGACCGGTGGTTCTCAGCCTGGGCTTCGCAGGCCTCAGGATTCTATCAGGCCTCATCGGGCTTCCCCGAGGCTTTTTCCGAGGTCCCGAAGGGCTTTTCCTGGGCCCTGCGCGGCCCTTCCTGGAGTTTTGCGGCGCCGGGGAATGCCGAAAGTGGAGTTTCCGGTAAAATCGGTATTCCACACGTTCTTAGCATCCGGTCGTCGAGGGTTCATGACTCATGCAGAGCTCGGAACATGATCAAGGGCTGATCCGCTACGGGTTAGGTGCACAGGGGTCCGTCGGAATCCGCGAAGCCCCGTTGGGGATTCCGCGCACTAAAAAAACTCGATAAGCGCAGCTCCAGACTCCAGAGTCTACATGAAGTATCTCATCCGACATCATTTCCTGGACACTACAGCGAATATTTTTGAGACTGAGCCATTCGGATCACACGATTCATTCACAGGCCATCTCAATGCGTGGACGGAGCTCGACGGTTACAGCACAAGAAAAACATGGGAATGGGGATCGCCTAATTCCCGGATACGAAATTTGCTGCGCTCCAGTATAAATCACTATTACTCCTAAAAAGAAGAATTCGTCCCAGAGAATGTGAATCGCTCAAACTCGCCCATTCGTAAGTGCGCCTGTCCGTTGCTCGAAACGAGCGTCATATCGACGAATGTGCGTTCTAGAAAAGTTGTACCGTGAGCGAAATTACCAATGCGGATCTTTCTGAAATGTCTCGCTTTCTTCTTCTCCAATTTCATTTTCTGTCTTTCTCGTCGTGTTGAAGTGTTGCCTTCCCTTGCCTCCCCTTGCCTTTCCTTGCCGTTATCCAGTAACGGTGGGCAACGGCGGTGCGGCTTTTCGCCAAACGGAATCCAAATCCGGCCTGAGTTGCGGGCAACGATTCCGCTTTGGTTCGCTGTTGTTCCTTGCAGGTTGTAGTAACAGACTCGAGGGAGGCTGGAGTTTCCGCTTACCCGAGTCCTGCTTGGTGGTCAGTGATTGACGGTTACGCGCGAGTACAACTCTTAGGATAAAGACCCCAGCATCGAAAGGATAGTAAGGCCTCGCTCTCGTCCCAGCCGATAATCATCTCGGTGTTCGGGTACCTCTTCGTGAATCACAATGGTAAGCCATCCGGAGAAGACTCTCGACTCTCCCCTATTCTGGATCCCCATGGATTCCGGAATTTCAATTTATTCAACCTCTCGGCGACCGTGTGTTCGGAAATTCTTTTCTCAGTGGCTTAGCGATTGGTCGCGCTCATGATAGGAGGTGGAGTATTCACCCGACAGAGTCGCGGTGAACGTCTCCGGAGGGATTGTGACCGTTCATAATCGAGCCGAATGCTGCGAACAATCCGGCCTTTGAGTTGTTCCGTCCTCACCCGCTGTCCGGACGGATTTCAGGAAGAAACGCGGAAACCGCGATCAGAACAGAGATCCGTTCTCATTATTGGTGGAATATTTTACTTCATGTGTACTGTCGCCTTACGCCCCGACCACAGCGAGCGCCATCCAGACCAGTTGTCGGAGGGCGATGCCCATCCAGGAACGATCAAGCCGAGCGCGAACCTTCATTCTCGGGATCAAGTTTAGCTTTCGGATCGCGGAACGGAGCCGGGATAATAATAATTGGATGTCCGAGGTCCAATGCGGCCCTGGATAGGCGCGCTCAGAGGTTCAGAATTATCGCTGCTCCTCATAACAGCTGTTCCGCTCGTGGAAACTACTGGAAAATGCACGACCGTGCATTCCATCTCCCGACGAGCTCCTAAGGCCACGATATAAATGTCCGAGGGCCGCTCTGTCGTTAAGGTGGGGCTGCGGAGCCGAGAGCATTCATTCTGGCTGATTGGCATCGTTTGCCACCACCAGTCTAGCTCACCACTCTCCCGCGAAGCGGCCCAGTCCACAGCCTGGCTGGGTGATTGTACGATCGCAGCCATTCTGCAACTGACAAGAATACGCGAGTGGCTAGCCAGTCAGGCGTCTATCCATCAGTTGGTCTTTCGTTGGTACCAGCGCCGCGCCGTCGTCGCGCGTTGAAACAAGGGTCTGTCGAACAGAGAACCAAGGGAAGCGGTTTGCTTAGAGCCGAAGGAGCTCTTGGCAAGTGACTCAAGGACATTTTCGTGGAGTCGGAGGAAGTCTAGCGAACAGTGGACGGATGGACGGATAGCTGGCCGGCGGGCCGGCCGCGAGAACTGTGCGGGGACACACACAGCTTTCGGCCACAATCGATCGCCGGCTCTATGACCAATGTTGGTGAAGAGGAAAGAAAGACCAAAATCAATGCTTAAAGACGGGATGAATCGCTTGTGTGTACGATGACAACACGTGGCTCCGATGGGTCGCAATACTTTATCGGGTTCGTATGAGGAGGCGACTCATCGGATTTCGCAATATTTTCAGAGTAAATTCAACGCGTCCCTCCCGTTTCTAGCTCCGACATGGTTTTCTCGATAGACATCATCACGCCTCTGAGATTTTCCGCCGATCATTGAATCTGATTCTCCGCCGATCGGTTGCGCTCTGGAATCTCACCGAACCGGGCGATTCTGCTCCGGCCAAAGACTTATGTTGGCGCAATCTATCAGTATTCGAGAATCGTGCCAACAACGGGAAGATTGTAGCTGCGACTTTATATATATATGCATGCGAAAGATCGCCTTCTCCGAGAATCGATCCCAACGGTCTTGCCTAAGTCTGTTGATTCGGCATCTAATTCTAGCACGGACGGATATATATCGCCGACAGACCAATGATGACATCGCTTCATTTTGAACACGCGGAAGTCGCAGCGGAGGGTGTTCGATTTTTACTAAGCGTAGCGAGTGGGAACGACAACCACCAGCGGCCGCACACTGTCCACGGTTTGATAATGGACCTTGTATTTCGAAATTCAAGTTTTTGTCTGTGTTAATCGGGTCGGATGATGCTGTCGAAACCTCTCTATGTCTATCTCTACGCCGCGTCGTCTAATTACCGACAGCAGCAGCAGCCACTATGATACTATAACCGCTCTAGGCGAGGAATCGAAAACGCAGCGGGAGGATGGGAACAACCCCAACGCTTCGAAATGGAGCTCCGACCCTAGTCCTCGCGATGATCAGGGGGAGGGAATAAACACTTCTCACCGCAGTCTCAGCGGACTGTCTGTCAATTAGATCGTAAGATAGCTTCGCCTCCAGATCATGACTCGATGAACTCACCTACCTACCTACCGACTGGCTGTCGAGTGACAGACCAACGGACGGACGGACCGACCGACCAAGCCGGCGGCTGGCAAGTCAAGCAACAAACCGGCGGGTGGACCGACGGGCGAGCAATGCTTGGATAGCCAGTCAGCGTCGGGTAGGCTTGGCTCGCGTATTTGCGTGCTGCCACTTCCGCTTCAGAACAATGGCTCTGAGCGCTTTTCTCGGGATAAACAACGACGACAGCCACGACAGCAACGAGACGAAACAGAAGTGAGAGAGCGATGTCACGAAATTCTCGGCTTCGCGGGAAACTTGAGACAATTGAAAGCGATGACGGAAATTTCTTGGCGAAGAAACGCGTCCCCAAGTACTCGGCTCGCGAATGGGGTTACTTCTCGAAACTGAATTTCACTCACTCGCGGCAGAAACCACCGGCAGAATGTTCAAACCCCCATTTGGGGGAAGTCGCGCCGTGCCACGACGGATAGAGTGCTCGCGAGACGAAGCTTCGACCTTCCCTTGCTCCACGATGAGAC